GGGGGGAGATAATTCTCAGAAAGAAATGATTGGATCTCCAATAATCTACAACTGATTAACTTTTGGAGTGAGCTCAGTTCAAGATGGCCACCACAACTACGGTACTCTACCTTAGCTTAGACAAAATGGCTAGACATTAGTGAATTTTACAGAAATTGACCCAATATTGGTTTGGTATGGTGAGACAATCATCCATAACATAAACTCCAAGGACTAATCCCCAAAGTTATTACAAAGTCAAATCAGACTATGCAACAAAGTTAAGTCAGGTTCTCTGGACGGTTTCTGTTTGTTGAAATGTTTCATCTTTCATCTAAAAGACTTCATCAGTCCACAGAGACACAACAAGCTCAGTCTTAGTAATAGCACCTTCTCATTGTGGGTCAAAAAGTTTGGTGGTGAGAAGAGTTTCTGGAGTCTGCCCTCTCTCCCGCCGACTCGTCTGAGGAAGCCATGGCCCAAGTGAGTATGGGTATAAGTCCACTTTGGCCACTCGTGTTCAAGCTGCTGTTTAATATACCATATTATTTTACATTATTAGTGTTATGTATGTGTGTGTGTATATGTGTGTGTATATATATATATATATATATATATATATTTTTTTTTTTTTTCCCCCATTTACCTTTATTTATCCAGGTAGTCTCATTGAGCCACGAGAACTCATTTTCAAGAGAGACCTGTTTAGGGAGCAGATGGTGGGGGTTGAGGGCCTTGCTCATGGGCCCAGAGTGGGGCGAATGAGGGTGGGGGCAGGTGTGGGTGCTTCACCTACCCCACCCACATATTTGATGTTGTCAGTACCAGGGCTTGAACCGACGATCTTCCGATCACAGGCCCACCTTCTCTAACCTCTGCGCCACCACTCCCCTTAGCGTATTGTTTAATGTACATCTTACATTCTTGTATATTGTTTCTTTTTATACTTTATACTTTTGCTACTTTTGGGTGTAACTGGGACCCTGAGTACATAATTTTGATCCATCCCATGCACCATATGTGATGTGAATGACACTAAAATTGTGTTATTAAATAAATATTTGTTTCCATTTGCTTTAACACCTCGCTTACCCTGGAGACAGTTCCCACCTGCCTGAAGACTGCCGCCATCATTCCAGTCCCAAAAAGCTCTACAGTGACTGGTCTGAATGACTATCGGCCAGTAGCCCTCACCCCGATGGTCGCTAAATGCTTCGAAAAACTGGTCATGACTCACATCAAAACAACCATCAACATCAACGAGGACCCTCATCAGTACGCATACCGTGAGAACCGATCAACAGAGGATGCAATCTCCTCTGTGGTCCACACTGCACTCAACCACCTGGAGCAGAAAAACTCTTACGTCCGTATGCTCTTTGTGGATTTCACGTCCGCCTTCAACACCATGATCCCCCAAACCCTGATGGACAAACTATCCACACTAGGACTAAGCCCCTCCATCTGCAGCTGGGTACTAGACTTTTTAACAAACAGACCACAGTTAGTGAGGATCCACAACCTCTCCTCCTCCACCATAACCCTCAGCACTGGTTCTCCTCAGGGATGTGTGTTGAGCCCCCTCCTGTTTACTCTGCTCACATATGATTGTGCAGCTACCCATCCAGGCTGTCACATTGTAAAGTTTGCAGATGATACAGCGGTGGTGGGATGCATCACAAACAATGATGAGTCCAGCTACAGGCAGGAGGTGGAACACCTGGAGAGCTGGTGCAGAGAGAATAACCTTAACATCAATGTGAAGAAGACAAAGGAGATGATTGTGGACTTCAGAAGGAACAAAAACACCTACACCCCCCTGAACATAAGAGGATCTGCGGTGGAAGTGGTCTCCAGCTACAAGTACTTGGGTGTACACATGAATGACAACCTCAGCTGGAGCAACAACACCACCAGCCTGATCAAGAAAGCACATCAGAGACTCTACTTCCTCAGACGGCTGAGGCGAGCTGGTCTGGGAAGCTCAGTCCTCACCTCCTTCTACAGGTGTGCAGTGGAGAGCATCCTGTGCTTGAGCATCAATGTGTGGCATGGAGGCTGCACAGCTGCAGAAAGAAAAGCTTTGCAGAGAGTGGTGAAGGCTGCACAGAAATCTGTTGGAGTCAGTCTCCCCACCATCACAGACATCTACACCTCCAGATGCAGGAAGAGGGCCACCTGCATCATGAAGGACCCCACCCACCCAGCACACACACTTTTTGCCCCACTCCCCTCAGGAAGGAGGTTAAGGAGCATTAAGTGTAGAACCACTAGACTGAGGAACAGCTTCTACCCTGAGGCTGTTAGACTCATGAATCTCTAACTAGAATAATCACTGTGAAAAACCATATCATGTTGCTGCTGATCTGTTTCATGTTGCTGCTGATCTGTTTCAATGTTGATGTGTTCATGCGTGCACATCTGCTCACAGACTCATGTTCATGTTTGTGCTGATGTTCAATGTTTTTATGTTATGAGTGCTTAGTGTATATTTAGTTGATGTTTTTCTTGGTTCATATCTTAGATGTTATTACTGTTTTTCTTATACATTTTATTGTTGGATGTAACTGGGACCCTGTGTACATAATTTCGCTCCACCACATGTACCACATGAGGTGCGAATGACAATAAAGAAACTCTGACTCTGACTTAATTGTGTTGTGACCTTAAAAGGTTTGAGTAAACTAGACAACAAGTAGGGAAAAAAAAGTGCCAGGCCTACCAAGAAAACATCCATCCATCCATCCATCCATCATCTTTAACCTGCTTCTTCATTTTTGGATCACGGGGGTCACTGGTGCTCATGTCCAGCTGGAACTGTGTAAGAGGCAGGGGACACCCTGGACAGGTCTCCAGTCCATCACAGGGACACAGAGACAAACGAGACAAACAACCATTCACTCTCTCACTCACACCTAGGGACAATTTAGAGTTACCAATCAGCCTAACATGCATGTTTTTGGTCTGTGGGAGGAAACTGGAGGACCTGGAGAAAACCCACTCAGCACGGCGAGAACGAGAAAACTGCACCCAGAAAGGTCCCGGGCCGGGATTTGAACCGGCGACCTTCTCGCTGAGAGGTGGCAGCTCTACCAACTGTGCTCCAAAAAAAAACTAACCTCAGTAAATTAAAAAAGGTTAAATTTTGTTTTAAATTAAGAAATAACTATTTTGTTCCTGAAAAAACAAGTTCTATTTCACATTTGCATCAACAAAATAAGTTGTGTCCTTGTGACCAGTTGCTGGAACCACACCATTTAAAACTTGTTCTGTCCTAAGCTGTTGTGCATCAACACGACAGATTCTTTGTCTTGAGTTTGGGTTCCTTCGATACTTGAATGATTCTTAGACCAGTGTCACATGGACCAAAAAAAACAAAAAAACTTTGCATTCCTCAAGTAAAGTTCATGAACAAGGACTGGACTCAAATGAAGACAATTTCAAAAAGTAACTTCAAAAGACCTTCTAAAAATGGTAAATCTATGGATTATTAACTATGGACAAATCTGAACAATTACAAAAATAAGTTAAAAAACAAAAACAAAAAACAAGTTAGCACCTTGAATGAGGGGAAAAAAGGGCTGGCTTTTTTTCTGCAGTATTGTACGTTAATGTCAAAATCCAACTATAATAACAGAATTAAATGCCCAATTTTCTTTAAAGGAATGCATGGTGCCCATCAACTTACATGCCAGATCAGTTGATTAGAAATTACGTTATACGCACTTTGGACGACCCTTGTAATTGTTGTTAAGTGCAATCTGATGCAATAAAGATTAGATCTCAAGATTATGTTTAACACAACTCAGCTGCTATCAAACTAAATTTCAGCTCAATAACTGTAAAATGGACTGTTTATAGCCTCGTGTGTTTGCTAAGATTGATCAGCCAAGGCAGCCATCTTAAATTAGAGCAACTTCAAAAGTTAACCACATTCCTTTCTGGGAGTTCATTAAAGTCTGTCCAGTAATTCATGAACTATTTTACTAATAGACAGAATTAACTCTGACAATTGAATTAATGTCATGTTTTTAAACAAAGATGCTGTGCAATGTGTAGTGTAGTGTTGAGGAAGACTTTTAGCTACTACCATATCCAATTTTAGCTCAATATCTGTAAAGAATGGCTGAGTTACAGGTATTTTTGTGTAGCCAATGGTCAGTAATCTGCGGTGGCCATCTTGATGGGGTTCACTCCAAAATGTAATCAGTTGTAGATGTAAACCCAATCATTACTTTGAGAGTTTTGTTGTTTATCTGTCCAGCAGTTCATAAAATAATATATTAACATAATAAACATATATGGAAACAAGGGCCAAAAATATGAGTAGCTTTTAACTTTGGCAGCAAGCAATAAAGAGTAAGGAGCATAGAGAAACAATAGAATCAAGATGCAATTAGTGTCGAACAAAGGAAACCGCTTTCTGAAAAAAAAAAAAAAAAAAAAAAAAACTTAATGAAACGCAATAAAGTAACTGCAACAATCTCTTGTGGTTCAGTTTTTAGCATCAGGAACATGGTAAATTACTTCTTGATCATTTAATCAGGTTAATGACTTGACACGTTTTGGCTCGTTTCTTTGGGGTAATAAAGTTTGGGGTAATAAGCTTTTTTTAGGAGAACTGGCTTTGTTTATATCTCATGCACTAATTGCTCATTGATTCTCTTCTCTTTGTGTGCTTACCTAAGTTGCACAATGGCAGCACTTAAACGGGGAAATGATTGCATTTAACAGCATTTTAGAGACCAACAAATGATGATGAATTGCACCTTGTTGAGAGGGAAGGTGGTGGACGCCACTCCTATCAGAACATTTAGGAGGTCGGACACTAATTGCGACTGAGAGTCCAGGGGCAGCATGAGGATAGGAGATGATGTGCCCATGCTCACTACCCTCATCTCCCCCTCCCACAGCCGATACAGCTGATCAAAGGCTTCCCTGCCTCCCTCTGTCAGATAAAAACACTCCCGCCTTCCTGGGGGGCTGTTGAGAAAAATGGAGCAGTTTAGTGATGTGTTACAAACAAGGAGACAGAATTAAATAAAACTAAGTGGTGTTTTATAATACTGGTTATCTGAATGCAAATTATTTAGGATTTAGTTTGAACAGTGTTCCAAAACAGTTTCAGGAGTTTTCAGCTTAGCATGCATATGATCAGAGTGACAGGTCATTTACCAGCCAACAGACTCCCAGCAACGACGTCTTCCAGGCTCAAATGTGAGTAAAGCCTCCCAAATATCAATGTCTGGAACAGGGCTGGGCTCTGACTGAGAGTCTGGGGTCAGGTTTGAAGCCGACTGGAAACCCTCGTCTTCAGACTGATCTAAACAGGAAGGAACCTGCACAAATCATTCATACGATAGTTCACACAAAAACAAAATAACTTCAAAAACTTTAATAAAACAACAACAGACCTGCTGTAACCTATGACACAACTACAAAAACTACAGTGTATCAGTTTACTTACTAGGCAAAGTCTCTTACCCTGATAGCCAACCCAGTAACATCAATATTACTGGGAACGGGAGGCATGTCCAGTCTGATGTCCATGTCCGATGTGCTACTATGCTGCAGTGCTCCAAACAATGACAGCCTGGTTTCTTTCTCAAATCTTTCCTCTACCTCATATTTATTTCTTAAAGCTAGCAGTCCTGTGCCCGGCGGAGCTTCCATCAACTGATGAGTTCCTTGGAGAGTCTCCAAAGTCCCCCATTCTTCTGCACAGATCAGACCCCATGCCCGGGCTTCAAGCCTCTGCAGCTCCTCGCTCTGGTAGCTCCAAGGTTGTGGCCTCCGCACAACGAGTCTCTCTCGTCTCATGTAGTCTTTACTGAAAGAGGTCAAAGGTGGGGGTGCAGAGCCAGCTAGAAACACCAGGAGGTCAAGCACTGAATCTACTTCCTTGAGACCAGAAGACTCCCCTTCAGGCAGCTTCTCGAGCTGCTCCTCCAGCCTCTCTGCTTCCTCTCGACACCCTGCCACCCTCAGGTCGAAGCACATCATGAGGACTTTGTTTCTGGGTGGCGTATTAGCAGTTGCACTCTGTTTTGAGGCAGGTCCTTTGGTACCATCTTGAAATAGCTTAGACAGCAGGGCACCATAGGCTCGTTTTTTGAGAGCTCTGTGAAAACTTTCTCTGGAAACTCCTCCCAAGGCTCTGCGCTTCCAAGACACCCCAGAAAGGCTGCAGCCACAGAGGGCGTTCAGCAGGTCAGTAATGCTGCTGCAGACGGGCTTCGTGGAGTTGTTGGAGCTCAGGTACATGATCGCTCTTCTGCCTCAGACGCTTTGAGTAAAATACACAGATGTCAGATTTTTAGTAATAAAACAAAGAAGACAGCTGTTGTGGTAGCTCTGAGGTGCTAACTTAAAACAGAAAGGACAACAAAAAAAGCAAAGAAGACATTTTTTAAACCATAGCAAGATATTTTTAAAATCTGTTTAGTAAATTAATAAACTTAAGTGTTCAAAACTAGCTGCAGCACTTTGTGTCACAAATAAATTAACAAGGCTAAAATTGAGGTAAACAGCTTAACTGTACAAAAAGCAAACAAATCTTAATATTTATAACATTAATTTGTTTGAAGCAGTACTGTATATAAGCGTATTTTGTTGAAACTTGTAGTGGATATTACAAACGTCATTAAAATGTGGCGAAAGAAAAATTCATGTATATTTCTTTGAGATGCAGTATAGAAGAGTATATTCCATGTAGCCTCATTCTAATGTTGCTTTTCCTGAATTGTACAACTGGGTAAAAGTGACTGAATGATTCAGAGTAAAGTCATGTTTAGGTTTTCTTTTTTTTTTAATGAGCAGGTAAAGGTGCCTGTGTTACAAAAACGACCCCAATTTGGTTGTCAAGTCAAAACAAATGTCCTTTGTTCACAATAAATTTATAAAAGAGAAAGCGTATTTATTAATAAACTGTATACAGTACATGTTTTCATATTGTGTATTTTGAATTTAAGTATTTTCTGTTGGTCCTTGGTAATTTGAAATGCGGTTCAGATTAAGCATGCTTTCCATCATGTTTATGAAAATGTTGTATTTGTAGCGTCTTCTGAATTAATTGTTGTTTTTTTGTTATGCGACGTACAGTATGTTAAATATTGTCTTCTTCGGTTCATGTTGTTGATTTGCTCCTCAGGGCCACAGTAAATGTATCATCGCTCAACATTGAACAATGTTCGCAGACATAAAAACGAATGTAAAAGAAACCCTTGCTCCATCTAAGATTCTAACAAAATGCGACACATTTTCACACACATCGTGAGAAAAGATGAACTGATGAAAACATTGAGCTAACACAACTAGCTACAGGTTAGCAACGTTATTTAGCGACAGCTAGCTCTGCACGGCGTAAAACTGCATATTTAATTAATCTAGTCTCATACCACGCTACAACGATGCTTCTTGATGCTGTCTATCTTCTCCAGATAGAGCCGTCAGGTCTTTTATCTGAATGTTTCAACCTTGATGCATCCACCAGGTCCTGGATCTCCAGCATGCTATTTGTTGTTAGCAATCGGCTCGTTTGCTTTGAAGCTGAAGTTAAGTAAAAACACTGAACCCAGTATATGGGCAATATACTAGGCTCCGATGGCTTCTTGTTTGTCTATTTAATTCTTGTTTCATCACATGACACCAGGTAATAAAGACTGAAGTTATGTACTAATCCAAATGTCAGTTCTTTGCTTCATTCATGCTCCGTCTCCGCGGGCTACGACAAACTCTGGATCCTCCCACCTGAACCTGATTGGATAAGTGCTTTACGACGTACCCTTTGAGCCACACTGATTGGTCAGATGCTGCAGTCAATCACGTGGAAGACTACACGTTCAAGTGTTGCACGGAAAATGTGCATCCAAAACAATTTCCTGGGATAATGACAGTTTATAAAGTGAAGTATACATTGTTTGATTTATGGAACATTGCAAATTAAATTAGCAAATTAATTTTACAATTATAAATTAAATTAAAAACGACACACGCTGACAATACTGTTAGAACGATTGAGGAGCAAACTGCAACTTGTGGTTGTGTTCTTATAATCTGAAACTAAACAACTCAGCTTTAGTTATCATTTGACTTTTAGTAAATTAAACCAGGAGCAAATCTGTAGCATTACAATTCGTTTCCCTTTGGTACATATAACCTCAGATAACAGAGAAAGCTTTTGTATTTTTCATTAATTCAACCTTTATTTAGACAGGTTAGTCCCATTGAGCCTCGGGGACTCATTTATAAGAGAGACCTGATTTTAACAGAGTGATGACAACAGTGGACAACAAAGACAATACTAGACAATCATAAAGGATGCATCCAAATTGAGCTCAACATGTGAAAATAAAATAGTATTAAAAAATGTAACAAAAACAGCTAGACTGTAAGGCAATGTTGAAAACTAAAAACAGGAACATGTCTGCCTTGGTTTTTCACATGAATTTAGATGTTTGAAGTCACTTAGAGAGGTCAAAGTTGAGAGCTTCAGACCTTTTTGCAAGATATTCCAGGAAACATGAGCAGAGTAGGAGAAGGCCCTTTTGACTAGTTCAGTCTGCACTGAGGGAACACTGCATGTAACAATGTCCCGAGAGCGCACGCTTTAACTGCATTCACACAGAGACATGTAGGAGGAGATGTATGAAAGCAGCAGACCAAGAAGTGATTTAAAGATGAAAATGTACCAGTGAGAGAATCTGCATGAAGTTAATGATGACCAGTTAACCAGTGAATGCAGGGTGCAGTGGTGGGTACAGTAATGGTAAATGGACTGCACTTATGTAGCGCTTTTCTATCTTATCAAGATACTCAAAGCGCTTTACACTACAATCTGTGCCCTCATCTATCCATTCATACAGCACTCTACTAGAAGCTAATGTGAATCTGTAAAAACTAATCCGTGCTTTAACACATTCATACACCGATGGGACACACATCAAAGGCAATGAGGGGTTCATTGTTTTGCGCAGGGACACTTCAACATGTGACTGCTGGTGGAATCGAACCCCCAACTCTTGCATTGGAGGACGACTGCTCTAACCACTCAGCCACAGTCGCTCCTATGGTTACAGTTACGGTAGTTACAGCCTATATAATAAGCTATATAACATTTTAGATGCACTTGAGTCTTAATCTTCAGCACAAGTTACACTCACTAGTTCAAACATAATCACGTGACAAAAATGTTTTGCAATAATTTACAAAATAGGTTGAAATATTATATACAGAGCTGCTCATACAATTTGATCACATTTTGTACAAATAAAATTAATGTATTCACTAATTCAGCAGTACGTACAGCTGGCCCCTAGGCACAGACTTGTGAAAACCCCTCTGTTCGTCTTTTAATGAGTTTTGAGTCCCTTGCTGTGAATTTAATTTCCACTTGTGGATATTTTTTTCCCAGTCTGTGTCTTACTGTGGTATTTCTTTAAGCTGTTGGCCATTGCAAATGTTTAAAGTTATTTTTCATTTTCTTTTTGCAATCAGTTCAGCTTTCTGTTGCACCTTCACCATGTTTTGCATCTTTTTTTGGTCTGTTTTTATCACTTTAATTCTCATTTATTTACTCCTTTGTCATTTTGTAACCCTCTTGCACCTTGCTAAAAACATGAAGCATCCTAAACTTCGAACCACTATCAGCCTAATGCATTGTGACTACGTAAATGACAGGTTTTAGGCATAAAACATTTTTTAAGTGCTTGGTAAGAGTACCGGTAATTTATTTTTCAACAAAGAATGGATAACCTGGTAGAATGAGATTTTAAATCCCCTTTAAGTAAATTGAATGGCTGTTACAGCATATATATTTTTAATAATGAGATTGACAGAGGAAACAGTGTTACTTTGGGAAGGAAATATAAGGTAGACATGGAACAAGAACTCATTTTTTCAGTGTGGGAAGTACACAGGCTCAACAAAATAAACATTTCTTTAAATTAAATTATTGCAAAAGAGGAGTGAATTTAAACACATACAGTACCTCTTCAAAAATGTGAAACCATTAAAATATCATGCAACAGATTACAGTTGTCACCGATTCTGTTCATAACTTTTATGGACAGAATTTCTTGGTGCATCCAGAGGGTGGAGGGAGTCCATCCCTGCTCTTTTAAGATGATGTGGTTCTGTTGGCGTCATCGTGCCGTGATCTTCAGCTCTCACTGGGGCAGTTCACAGCCAAGTGTGAAGCAGCTGGGATGAGAATGAGCACCTCCAAATCTGAGGCCATGGTCCTCAGTTGGAAAAGGGTAGACTGCTCTCTTCAGGTTGAGGATGAGGTTCTGCCTCAAGTGGAGGAGTTCAAGTATCTTGAGGTTTTGTTCATGAGTTAGGGAAGAACAGAGTGTGAGATTGACAGACAGATTTGTGCAGCATCTCAAGGTCAAAGCTTTCTTTATTTGTCATTCGCATCTCATGTGGTACATGTGGTGGAACAAAATTGTGTACACAGTGTCCCAGTTACATACAACAAAATGTAAAAGAAAAACAGTAATAATATCTAAGATATGAACTAAGAAAAACGCTAATATGCTAAACACTAGTAGTACAAAAACAATATGCTGAACAACAGCAGCACGAACATGAGTCTGTGTGAGCAGATGAATACGAATGAACACAGCAGCATAAAATAAATCAGCAGCATGAGATCAGCAGCATGGATAGTCAGCAGCACATACTGTATCAATCAACTGGCACTACAGTGATTTTTTTTTTCACAGTATAATCCTGATTAGGGATTCATGAGTCTAACAGCTTCAGGGTAGAAGCTGTTCCTCAGCCTATGGTTCCACATTTAATGCTCCACAACTCCTGATTGGAGCGGGGCAAAAAGTGTGTGTGCTGGGTGAGTGTGGCCCTTCATGATCCAGATGGCCCTCTTCCTGCATCTGGAGGTGTAGATGTCTGTGAAGGTGGGGAGACCGACTCCAAGAGTCTTCTGTGCAGCCTTCACCACTCTCTGCAAAGCTTTTCTTTCTGCAGCTGTGCAGCCTCCATGCCACACGTTGATGCTGGAGCACAGGATGCTCTCCACTGCACACCTGTAGAAGGAGGTGAGGACTGAGCTTCACAGTCCAGCTCGTCTCAGCCTTCTGAGGAAGTAGAGTCTCTGATATGCTTTCTTGATCAGGCTGGTAGTGTTGTTGTCCCATCAGAGGTTGTCATTCATATGTACACCCAAGTACTTGTAGCTGGACACCACTTCCACTGCAGATCCTCGTGTTCAGGGGAAGGGTGGTAGGTGTGTTTGTTTCGTCTGAAGTCACGACCATCTCCTTTGTCTTCTTCACATTGATGTGAAGGTTGTTCTTCCTGCACCAGCTCTCCAGGTGTTCCACCTCCCGCCTGTAGCTGGACTCATCGTTGTTTGTGATGCATCCAACCACCGCTGCAGTATTGCAGACTCTGTGTCGGTCCGTTGTGATAGATGGAGCAGAGCTGTAAGGCAAAGCACTCTGTTTACTGGTCAGTCTATATTCCTACCCTCACCGGTCATGAGCTCTGGGTACTGACTGAAAGAATGAGATCGTGGATACAGGCAGTTGAAATGAGTTTCCTCTGCAGGGTAGCTGGACTCTCCCTTAGAGACATGGTGAGAAGTTTAGTTATAAATGGTAAATGGACTGTACTTATATAGCGCCTTTCTATCTTATTTCAAGATACTCAAAGCTCTTTACACTACAATCTGTGTCCTCATTTACCCATTCATACAGCACTCTACATCTCTACAAAGCTAATTGAAAACATCATTCTAATGAGACTAATCAGTGCTTTTAGATCACATTTATACACTGATGGGACACACATCAGAGGCTATTAGGGGTTCAGTGTCTTGCCCAGGGACACTTCGGCATGTGACTGCTGGTGGATTCGAACCCCCAACTCTCGCATTGGAGGATGACTGCTCTAACCACTCAGCCACAGCCGGGAGAGACTCAGTAGAACCGCTGCTCCTCCACCTCAAAAGGAGCCAGTTGAGGTGGTTCAGGCATCTGGTAAGGATGCTCCCTGGGCGCCTATCTAGAGAGATGCTTCGAGCATGTTCAACTGGGAAGAGACCCCGGGGAAGACCCAGGACACGCTGGAGAGACTATGTCTCTTGGTTGGCCTGGGAACACCTTGGAATCCTCCCAGAAGAGCTGGAAGAGGTGGCTGTGGAGAAATGTCTGGACCTCCCTGCTCAAGAGCTGTCCCCGAGACCCGACTCCGAAACAAGCAGAAGATGATGGATAGATGGATGGGACATATTAATAGAAGGGCTATTTCAATTTTTAGACTGCTGGGGCTGTGATAGTCTTTTTAGGGCCTTTGAAAACAGAACAACTTCTAGATATCTTTAAGCGCATACATTTGTGAAATAAAAGCTAGCCAAATACAAATCCACAGTCAAGATATGTGCTGCTCAGTCATAAAGCTAGTTGTGACCTAGGCCTTGAGAAGTAGGGGTGTGGAGGGTGCTCCAACA